TACCCTTTTCCCAACCATAACACTTGGAAACCACTGATCTGTTCTCCATCACTAATATTTTCACTTTGAGAATGGTATATAAATACAATCATACAGTGCATAACCCTTTAAGATTGTTTTCCCACTCTACACAATGTCTTGGAGATTCATCCAAGTTGACACATGTATCTTTCCTGTTTATTGAGTAGTATTCCATTGCAAGGATGTTCCTAGTTTGTCATCTATTCACTCACTGAAGATTGTCTGGTTTATTTCCAGTTTTTGACTATTACAAATAAAACTCCCATGAACACTCATGTACAGAATTTTGTGTAAACCTAAGTTTTCATTTTTCTAGTATAAATACTCAGGAGTGTGATTGCTGGGTGATACGATAAGCATATGTTTGTAAGAAACCATCAAGCTGTTCCAGAGTGGCTGTGCCATTTTATATTCCCCCCAGCAATGTAAGAGATAATCCGGCAGTCTGCATGCTTGCCAACATCTGGTTCTGTCGGAACCTTTTATTTGAGCCATTTTAATATGTATGCAGCCGTATCTCATTATGGTTTTTTTTTTTATTATGGTTTTAATTTGTACTTCTATAATGGCTAATGATGGTGAACATCTTTTCATGTGCTTATTTGTCATTTTATACCTTCTTTGATGAAGTGACTATTCAAGTCTCTTGCCCATTTTCTAACTGGATTGTTTACTTATTCTTCGGTTTAGAAAGTTCTTTTTTTTTTTTTTTTTTTTTAAGATTTTATTTACCTGACAAAGAGATAGAGAGAGAGCACAAGTAGGCAGAGCAGCAGGCAGAGGGAGAGGGAGAAGCAGACTCCCCACTGAGCAGGGAGCCCAACGTGGGGCTTGATCCCATCCTGGGATCATGACCCAAGCCAAAGACAGCCGCTTAACTGACTGAGCCACCCAGGCGTCCCTAGAAGTTCTTGAAATTAAGATAGTGAGAGAACATTTCATAAATTTGTATATTTAGAAAATTTTATTATAAAGTTTATAAATTTATGCCAATTAATTTTAAAACATATAAAATGAACAAAATTCAAGAAAAATATAGCTTACCAAAAACTGACTGAGAAAAAATAGTTTGAATAGTCTCTTAACCCATAAAGGAATTGAATTAGTAGTGAAATGTCTTTCCACCTTACAAAGCACTAGGCTCAAATGGCGTTTCCAGGTAAGTTTTAATAAACATTCAAGGAACAAGTAATTTCAATCTTACACAAACTCTTCCTGACAAAAGAAAAATAGGAAACCCTACCTAACTCATTTATGAGGGTAGCCTAATCAAGACATCAAAACCAAACAAAAAGACCATGATAAATTATATACCAAGCTCACTCATGAACATAGATTAAAAAATGTTAAATTAAAATATTAGCAAATTTAGGGGCGCCTGCGTGGCTCAGTCGTTAAGCGTCTGCCTTCGGCTCAGGTCATGATCTTAGGGTCCTGGGATCGAGCCCCACATCGGGCTCCCTGCTCCGCGGGAAGCCTGCTTCTCCCTCTCCCACTCCCCCTGCTTGTGTTCCCTCTCTCGCTGTGTCTCTCTCTGTCAAATAAATAAATAAAACCTTAAAAAAAAAATTAGCAAATTTAATCCTGCAGTGAATAAGAAAGTAGCACACAATGACCACGATGGGTCTACCAAAGGAAGACAAGGTTGATTTAATATCAAGCAATCTGTTAGTATAATTCACCACATTAACTGACTAAGGGAGGAAAACTATAGGATCATCTTAACAGACATAAGATATGTTTGATAAAACTCAACATCCATTCATGATAATAATTCTCAGCAAGCCAGTAGAGAAAGAACTTTCTTAAGCTGATAAAAGGCACCTAACATGAGCATTTAATAAAGTTCAACATCTGATTAAAAAAAACAACAGAAATAGAAGGGAATTTGCATAATCTGATAAAGGACAGCTACCAAAAGCCTACAGCAAAACCATACTTTAAAGTTTAACATTAAAATCATTTCCTGGGGCGCCTGGGTGGCTCAGTCAGTTAAGTGACTGCCTTCGGCTCAGGTCACACATGATCCCAGGGTCCTGGGATTGAGTCCCGCATTAGGCTCCTTGCTCAGAAGGGAGCCTGCTTCTCCCTCTGCCTGACACTCCCCTGCTTGTGCGCTCTCTCTCTCTGAGAAATAAATAAATAAAATTCTTTAAAAAAATTTTTAAAAAAATCATTTCCTTTTAAATCAGGAACAAGAAAGGATGCCTGTTACCATAACTTCTATTCAATATTTCTCTGACATCCTAGACTGCAGTAAGATAATAAAATATTAAAGGTTTGAATATTAGAAAACTATAAGTAAAATTGTCATTATTTGTAGATGATATCCTTTCCACCTAGACAACAAAAGAAACTAAAAATAAATAGTATTAAAATTAATAAGAAATTTTAGCAAAATGGCTCAATATAAAATACATAAAAATTACTTGCATTTCTATATATTAGCCACAAATACTTACAAATATAATTTTTTTAAAAGATTTCATTTACAGGGTGCTTGGTTGTCTCAGTTGGTAGAGCATACGACTCTTGATCTTGGGGTTGTGAGCTCAAGCCCCATGTTGCAGGTAGAGTTTATTTAAAAAACTTTTTTCATTTGGGGCACCTGGGTGGCTCAGTTGGTTAGATGACTGCCTTTGGCTCAGGTCATGATCCCAGGGTCCTGGGATCGAGCCCCGCATCGGGGTCCCTGCTCAGCGGGAAGCCTGTTTCTCCCTCTCCCACTCCCCCACTTGTGTTCCCTCTCTCACTGTCTCTCTCTCTCTCAATTAAATAAATAAATAATCTTAAAAAAATTTTTTTTATTTACAATACCAACAAAAAACCTAGAATTAAATCATAAAATATATGTAAAATCTTTGTGGGAAAAAATCATAAATCCTTTTGAAACTTTCTGAAAACCCAGTATACCATGTTCACACACATGTACTATGTTCAGGGACAGGAAGCCTATATATCTCAAATTGATCTATAAATTCAATGCACTTCCAATCAATATTCCAGTGGGATATTTGAGGAATGTGACAATATGATTCTAAATTTACACAGATTCTAAAAGGCCAAGAATAGCCAAGATATTCCTGAAGAAAATAAGATCCTTTTTGGGGGGAGGGAGGTAAATAAACAAATGATATGCAATACAAAGCCCAAAAACAGTCTCATGTGTGTATGGAAATTTGATATATGACACAGGTGACATTGCATATCAATGGGGAAATAGTGTTGGTGTTAACTGACTATCAAATGGAAAATAAAATTGGATCCCTTCCTCAGACCATGCACAAAAATGAATTCTACATGCATGCATATGTAAATGTCAAAGGAAAAACTTATTTAGAGGAAATACAAAAGAATATTTCTATAACCTTGGGTAGGAAAGACATTTTATAAAGATACTAAAATATAAAACCCATTAAAGAGAATTATTGGCATGTTTGGCACTTTAAAACACTGCACTGAAAGACATAATAAAGTAAGTGAAAAAGCAAGTGGCAAATGGGAGAAGATATTTATCATACACACTCCCAACTGAGAATGAATATCCAGAATATATAAAGAACGCTTACAAATGAATAAGAAATAAGAAACAACCAAAGAGAAAAATGGTTAATAGGTATTTCATAGAGGACACACATATGGCCAACCAACATACAAGATGTCCAACCAAAGTAGAAATCAGGGAAAATCAAAACCACAGGATATCACTTTATGCCAACCCAATTGTCAAACATTGTAAGTTTGACAATACCAAGAGTTAGTGGTGACGTAGAGCTATATAAACTGGTCCAATTCCTTTATAAAAATGTTCAGCATTATCTGGTAAACTTGACAATAACAACCCAACAATTCTACTCCTAAGTATAGTCCCTAAACATAAGGAGACATACAAAAATGTTTATAGCAGTGTTATTTGCAATAGCAAAGAACTGGAGATGGTCCAAATGTTTCTTGGCTCAAACATGGATAAATAAATTGTGGTATATGGCTACAGTTAAATACTATACAGAAGTGAAAATAAGGAACTATAAGCCATACCATTATCACCGAAGATTACCACTTCGGTCCTTTACAAAATGATGCCTTTTTAATAACGTTCAACTTTTGCTTTCAAAAAGCTGTTTTCATGTCTTGATATTTGTCAGTATTTCAAGTTGTGAGAACAGAATGGGTTGGTGAGGGAAACTGGGCTCTGAGTCACTGGGGAGGAGCTTCATTTTGAGTCATGACTGGGACACTTACAAATAATCAAATAAAATGCACTGGGCACAAACCTACAATGTCAATATGGCACTCCCCATATTTTCCAGGGGCCACTTGCTACTTCCTCCTACCCCCACCTTTCTCATAATCACAGTTGGCCTTTTTTTTTTTTTTTAAGACTTTATTTATTTATTTATTTATTTGAGAGAGAGAGAGAATCTGAAACAGACTCCACGCTGAGTGCAGAGTCCGACAGGGGGCTCGATCCCCCGACCATGAGATCATGACCTGAGCTGAAACCAAGAGTCCGACTGAGCCACCCAGGTGCCCCTACAGTAGGACTTCTTGAGGTGATACGTTTGATGAGAAGCAGAATGTCCCTTTGGTAGTCCCTGGCCTGAGTTCCTAAGGGCTGGCCAGTCTCTGATGGTAACAACCACCTGGACCGCCCGGGTCCTACCTTCCCAACCCCACCTCCCCCTTCTCCAAGACCTCCACCGTGACAGACGGGGCAGCATTCCATTCCAATTCCCCTTCACTCTCTCGCCAAAACTCTCAAGTCTGCGCAGGCCTCATCACTCTATCAGAGTCCGCACAACCTGGGACTTCCAGGCCAAAAACATCGACAGTTAAAGTCAGGCCTCATATGATTTACTGCAGTTTCTTAACCTATGCGGCCGCCCCTGAAGGGGCTGCCCTGCGCTGCCGCGTCCACGCCTCGCTAATACGACACACGAGGCGCCCGGAAGTGGCGGTCGGGCTCCTACGTCACTGGCTGCGCCCAGTTGGCGGTTGCCGTATAGTTGCTGGGAGGAGGCGGGAGGTGGAGCCGCTGGGGCTAAGATCATGCCAGACAGCGAGAGGTATTCTGGGCAGCAGAGGCCGCTAGGCTTGGGATGAAAGAAGCAGGGCAGATGCAAAATCTGGAGAGCGCGGGGGCCGGGCGGTCAGTCAGCACCCAGACTGGCAGCATGACTGGTGAGTGCCTCGGACCCTGCCGCTGCCATCCCAGCCTTTCGCTCTGCCTTGAGCCTCTGCCTCCATGTAACTCCGCTTTCCCTGCCTATCCCTCTTCGCCCGCGCTTCTGCCCCGGGATGTGTCATTCCCGCCCTAGGCGCGTTCTCGCCTCGGTCACCAGGAACCCTTGGCCTGGCAACACCTGCTTTTGAAGTCGCGCTCATTCCCTCTTACCCCCACCCCCACGCCCCCGCCCTCTGCTTTTCCTCCCGGGACCTAGAGCTGGGATCTCAGGTATTGAGCCTGAAAATTCCGTGCTTTTGACTTGATTTCCGAATTAACCACACACGACGCTTTCCTGTATTTCAACTGCCTTCCCCGCGAAGGTCACCGCACTGCCCTTCTTGCAACACCACAATTTAAAGAAAAGCTTGCTTCACGATAACATCAGACGCAAGGACTTTTCATAACTTCCTTTGGATTATTCCCATAGTTAAATTTATCAGTTGTACCATGTTTTTTTCCTTGTCACGTGATGGCTGGAGAAAGGGCCCAACTTTGAAAAGTGCCAGAGGAGGTCACCGAAAGTGAGGTTGTAGCCAGGCTCCTGCCCTTTGATTCTTTTGTCCTCTTATCCTTTTTCTCTGCCTCCTACTAAAGCAGCTGAGTTCAGACTGCAGCACCCAAATGGCATTGAGGATGAGTTCTTATTTTCATCATTAGTAAAAATTTTAAAGTGTCTACCCTCTTTTTTGTAGGTCAAATACCAAGGCTTTCTAAAGTCAACCTTTTCACTCTGCTCAGTCTCTGGATGGAGCTCTTCCCAGCAGTAAAAGCCCAAAGACAAAAATCTCAGGTATATTTTGTTTCCTTAGTTTTTCCCACTTAGTCGTGGTTTAAATTTGGTTTTTCCAGTTTCTGTCACACTTAAAAGCAAACTCAAAAACCTTAAAATTTGCAAAATACTTACGTGGTTTAGTGTGATATTTATAACTCCTAGCTGTAATAGCTCATCTTTCTAATCTAAAAATAGAGTTGTTACTTTCTCAGACTTTGCCATGTTTATCAGGTATTAATGGTATTTATATGTTGGTTTGGACAATTAGATTGCATAATTCATCACCCAGTTGCATACTATTGATGTTTCATGTGAGTAGTTTTCCCCTTCTCCCACTGAACTGTAAATTACGGGAAGATGGAGATCATGTCTTATTTTACCTTATTTTTATTACTGTGTCTTATTTTACCATGTCTTATTTATACCCCTTTAGCATCTACTCTTGGAATAGGTAATCTGTGAATGCTAATTGGTTTCTTGTTCCATGTAAATAGTCTCTTTTTTGGATCTAAAAGAGGTGATCAAAACAGGTTAGGAATATATAGAAAGAATAATCATGAAAACCTACATCTTTACTTTCTCCAACCCTTGGGCAGCAAGGTGCTTACCTTCTCATCTTTTTCCTCCATGCTTGGAGTGGCATGGTGTTAGGTTCTCAACCAGTTGGTTTGGTAGATTAGTAAGTTTAGAATGTTTTAGGGGGCCAAGGCCATATAGGGAGAATAGTATTCAGTTGTTTAAGCATTTAAGACATTTTTTGAAAAAGGGAAAGGGGGAAGAATTACCCATGGCTTTTCACCATTCTAACAACATCACTTTTAACATTTTGGTACTTCCCTTCAGTCTTTTTTTAAGCACATGCTTGTTTTTCTCTTACAAAATTGCACTTGTATTCTGCATATGCTTATGGAAGTTTCCAACTTGCCGATAATTGTGCTGAAAGATTGCTTCACATTTTCCACAAAATGACTTTTTGTAAATCCTTAAACACAATTGTACTCTTATGAGGTCATTCATAACCATTCTTTCTTTTTTTTCTTCTTGGCGTCTTTGTTACGGTGGATAAGGTTGTGTGCTTGGCATTGGAGATACGAAAAGAAAGATTTGGTTTTTATTTTCTAAATGGAGACAAAAGTTAGGTATTTAAACAAGATGCAATAAGCAGAGATGCTACCAAGACTGAAGACTGCAAACCAGGCTCTGCATGGGGAAGTGAGGGAAGGATGCACAGGGCAGGCTCCGTTTGCACTGAGACATGAAGAATGAGTAGATATTTACCAAGCCAAGGGACTCCATATGGAAAAGATTGAAGGAGTGAGAGAACTTGTGGTCCTCATGGGGGAGGGTGAAGTTGGGTGAAGGGAAGAGACTGAAGATGAGCTTGGAAAGGTATACAGGAATCAGAAAATAAAAAATATTGTATGCCTTGCAAGAGAGTCTAGATTTTATAAGTAGGGACTACACTGACGAATTTTAACAGGGAATTAAGGAATTAACTTTTTAATAATTAGAACTTTATCTTTTTAAAGCACTTATAGGTTCACAGCAAAATTTCCGGGAAAGTACACAGATTTCCTGTATACTCCCTGCTCCCCCCTACATGAATAGCCTCCACCATTAACCACATCCTCTCCAGAGTGGTACATTTGCTACCGTTGATGAACCTACATTGACACATCATGATCGCCCAAAGACTATAGTTTACATTATAGTTCAGTCTTGGTACTGTACATCCTGTGTACCTCAAAGGTATAATGACATGTATCCATCATTATGGTATCATACAGAATATTTTCATTGCCCTAAAAATTCTCTGTGATTCACCTATTTATTTTTCCCCCACCACCCCCAACCATGGCAACCACTGATTTTTTTTTTAACTGTCTCCATAATTTTGCCTTTCCCCAGAACATCATATAGTTGGAATCATACAGTAGTATGTAGCCTTTTAGGGTTGGTTTCTCTCACTTAGCAATATACATTTAAGGTTTTTCCATGTCCTTTCATGGCTTGATCACTCACTTCTTTTCAGTGCTGAGTAAGATCCCTTGCCTGGATATACCACACATAATTTATCCATTCACCTGCTGAAGGATATCTTGGTTGCTTCCAAATTATTGCAATTATGAATGAAGCTGCTATAAATATCTGTATGCAGATTTTTGTGTGGACGTGAGTTTTCAACTCCTTTGGGTAAATACCAAGGAGCATGATTGCTGGATTGTATGATGAAGAGTATATTTCGTTTTGCCAGAAACTACCAAACTGTCTGTACCATTTTGCATTCCCACCAGCAATGAATGGAGTTCCTGTTGCTTCACACCGTCTCCAGTATTTGGTGTTGTCAGTGTTCTGGATTTGGAGCTTTCTTATAGGCATGTAGTGGTAGCTCGTTTTAATTTGCATTTCTCTCATGACATGTGATGTGCAGCGTTTTTTCATATGCTAATTTGTCAACCATATATCTTCTTTGGTGAGGTTTCTGTTAAGCTCTTTGGCCCATATTTTAGTCAGGTTATTTTCTTATTGTTAGGTTTTAAGAGTTCTTTGTATATTTTGGATAACAGTCTTATATCAGATGTGTCTTTGCAAACATTTTCTCCCAGTCTGTTGCTTGTCTTCTCATTCTCTTGACAGTGTCTTACACAGAGGAGAAATTTTCAATTTTAATAAAGTCCAGTTTATCACTGATTTCTTTCATGGATCGTTCCTTTGTGTATCTAAAATGCCATCGCCATACCCAGTGTTATCTAGGTTTTCTCCTATGCAATTTTTTGTGGAGTTTTTTAGTTTCACGTTTTACATTTGGGTCTATGATCCATTTTGAGTTGATTTTTGTGAAGGGTGTAAAGTCTTTGTATATAGAGAATTCACTTTTCCTGATAAAATGGTATCTCTTGGAGTAGTTTTCTTCTCCAACTACTATGTGAAATATTTAATAAATAGTAAAACATTATTTAAAATGGTTTGCATTTTTACGCCCTATTAATCACTCCCTCAACCCTCGCCCTGGCTCCATATATTATTAATGGCTTTGAGAAAGTCTTCATTTCCTTCATGATTTTGAAGTCTTTTATTCTTTCTGCCTCTTAGTAACTTAATATTATTTTATGAAAGTGGAAGACTTTCAAACTGTTTGGGTTTTTTGGTTTGTTTTTGTTTTTTTTGCAGATAAAATTGTCTTGAAGAGACAGATTAGAAGCAAATGCTTAGAAATTTAAGACTTTTATTTTTTTAGAAGATTTTATTTATTTATTAGAGAGAGAGTATACTTGCATGTGACAGTGGGGGGCGGTGCATAGGGAGAGGGAGAGAGAGAATCTCAAGCAGACTCCCCACTGAGCATGGAGCGGTCACATGGCTCTACACAGGGTGTATGTGAGGCTCGATCTCACCTGATATCATGATCCTGAGATCATGACCTGAGCTGAAATCAAGAGTCAGTTGCTTAACTGACTGAGCCACCCAGGTACCCCGAGATTTAAGACTTTTTAAAAGCACATTTAAAAAGCTGGGCTTCTTAGAGATTGAGTACTAATTTTGAAGACACTTTTTTTTTTTTAATATGAAGATTTGATCTCATTTTAATTCACATATATATACACACACTTATATATTTAGATATTTATATATGTGTGTGTGTATATATGTGTGTGTGTGTGTATATATATATCAAGAATAAATCCTCTGCTGAAATTAACTTCTTTTTCAACAGGGATGTGTATTAAATTAAATAAATTCAGTATTAATTACACATTATGTTCACAGGGTTGAGTAAGATCTTTCTCCTTTTAAGAGAAGAAAAATGTTCTTTAAGCTAAAATACTAAGTTTGTTTCACTTAAATTCTTTATTCTGCTTTTGCTATACAAAGTAAGTCATAGAAACTCTAAAGATGCATTTTGACATGTAATTATATTGGAAATACTGCCTTTGACACTTTACCAACCTTTTGTCGTCTTAAAACATTTTTATTTGTTACCAAACTAATGTATGTCTATTATTTATAAAATGGACTGAAGAAAAAATTTTTTTTCACAATTTCACTATCTAGTGACTACTGACATTGTTGTACTGTTTCTCAATCTTTCCTCTCTCTCTCTGTCTCTCTTTGAGTTATTTGAGATCATTTACTTCTGGATCTAGCCTTTTTCACTTAACATAGGAAAATGCTTATGCTGTAATATTATTATACACATTGGACAGCAACTTAGTCTAATGGTTTAAGATTAGTCAGTGGTTTTGGAGTTAGCCTGCCTGGGTTCAAATCTGGACTCCACCTCTTACTGTTGCGTAATCTTGAGTAAGTGACTTTCCCTCTCTCAACTTCCTCATCCATAGAATGGAATGTTACTGGTACATACTACAGGAGGCTTTTATGAAAAGTGGATGAGTTAGTATTTGTAAAGCTCTCAGATAGTGGCTGGCACAAACTATGTACTATATGTGTTTGTTATTATCATTTTAATGTTGGCGTAACAGTCCATTGTATTGATGTACCATGTGTATTCCCTTAGCACTGGACATTTAGATTGTCATTCATTTTACCAGCCTCAGTGTATTTTATTTTATTTTATTTTTTAAGATTTTATTTATTCACTTGAGACACCGAGATACAGAGAGAGAGAGAGAGAGCATGAGCAGGGAGAGAGGCAGAGGGAGAGGGAGAAGCAGGCTCCCCGCTGAGCCAGGAGCCTGATGTGGGGCTCGATCCCAGGACCCTGGGATCATGACCTGAGCCGAAGGCAGATGCTTAACCACCTGAGCCACCCAGGCGCCCCCTCAGTGTATTTTAACTTACAACCACTTCTAAATATGACTGATATCTGAGATTTTCTGTGTTGTCAAATATTTACACTGTATGGATGCTCTTTGAAGATTGTTCAGCAAAGTTTACATTAAGTATAAAATCCAAGCATTTTTAAGAATCCAGCCCAAAACTAGATAAATGAGTGGGAGAGAAACTGTTTATGAGACTTGGGAAAAGCACAGTTAACTAAAAGTTTCAGAAGTTGGCACTACTAAAAATGGCCATCGTTTTAAAATAATCTCTCCTATTGGTTCATAGTTTTTAGTTAAGTTAAACATATCAAAATTGCCTGAATGGTACTGTAGTATAAGAATTAGAGTAAGTGTATTGTTGCCTCGTTTTTTACACATCATGTACTGTCCCTCTCTCCCAATTCTTCCCACTGTGTACTCACTGTGCTTTTCCAGAACAGTAACAGGGTAGCATAATGGTTAAGACGATGGACTTGGGGCTCAGGTCCTGGCTTTCCCATTGACTAGCTATGCAGTTATTTGATCTCTCTCAACCACAGTGTCTTCATGTCTAAAATGGAAACGATAGGGGCTACTTTGTAAAGTTCTGAGGATTAAATGAGATAGTTTCGAGCCTGGTGCTTGGGAAACACTGTTAGGTACTTTATTATTATCACTCATACCATCCTCACCACCACTACTACCATCTCATTCCCGCCATTCCACTACCAGCATCATCACTTCTTCCACTTCCTGTTCTGCTGGAATAGAAATGTGATTCCCAGGACATGGCTTTTCTTGTAAACTTTTTGGAGGTTATTCCTTTTCTAGCATCCAGCATTTGTTTCATAAGACTGAGAGTTCAACATTCACCAAGTTTACCATTCCCACTTAGAAACTTTCTCCAATTTATTACGTATCCCACCTACCTTGGGGCTCCCAGAAGCCTGCTGTATCATTCTGTCTTAATTATCTGCTCACTTCATAGTCATTTTCCTGTGTCATAAGCTCGATAAGGGCTGCATCCTGAGCAACTAGGTCTCTGGCTGGCACATGGCAAGCATTCAGTAAATATTTGTGGAATTAATAAATGAAGGAATCTTGCCCTGGCTCAAAACTTTCTACTTCAAGTTTTACTTTTAGAAGAGACTCGTGGACTTCCATGCGTTAGTGTCCTCTTCTGTAACAAATTACCATGAAGTCGGTGGCTTAAAGCACATATTATATGTAGTTATTGTCCTACAGTTCTGGAGGTCAGAACCCTGAAATGGGTCTCACTGGACTAAACTCAGAGGCTCAGGGCAGATTCCATTTCCTCGCCTTTTGCAGTTTCTCGAGGCTGCCCACTTGCCTTGGACAAGGCTCTTCCTCCATCTTTGGAGCCAGCAGTGGCAGACTGAGTCTCATGTTGCATCACGCTGGCACTGATTTGCCTCTCTCACTTATAAGGACCTTTGTAATTACATTGGGTCCATCTCAAGGTCAGATGATTAGCAGCCTTAATTCCATCTACGATCTTGCCACAGTAACAGAGTAACGTAACAGTCGCCAGGGGGTGGGACAGGCAAGTCTTTGGGGGACCACTATTCTGCCTACCACAATCCACATCTACAGATAGTTCCTTATCTTCCCAATTCCAGTTAATTTACCCCTACCCCCCTTTAGCCCTTTTTAGCTATGGCCACACTTTGGACTGCTCCTTAAAACTGCCCAACTCCAAAAAAACTACAGAATTTTATTTTCTGACCAAAACTTTCAGTCCTTCTGTATTTTGCAAAAGTATGTAGGGGCCTGATTGTAAAGGCCTTATGTACTAGGTTAAGTAGTCTGAACTTGAACCTGAACAAAGCGTGAAGTCAATGCAGATTTTCATCAGGAAAAAAAAAAATGAATGATCCAAAACCAAGAAAACCAGCCTTCAAATAGGAAATATTGAGTTAATTCTATGTTTTGTGCACTAATCTTTTTTTCCCCTTAATCCGCTTTTAATTAGGAAAAGGAAGAGGGAAAACATGGACCCTTAGGAGATAATGAAGAGATGGCCAGGATATCTACTGACAAAAAACAGGTGAATTTTTATGACTTTTAAGAAGACGTGTTTGTAATAACAAAGCAAAAACAATGGTATAAAGTAGACTAAAAGTCCTTCTTATACTCAAGTTTCCCATTTCCACTTACAAGGCAGGTTCTTATATACCCTTCATATCCTTCTAAAAGTTTTCAGTGCATTTACACGACTATACATGTCTCTCCTCTAAAAAACAAAACAAACCCAGATTATTTTATAATATGCTCCCACATCTTTTTTTTTTAATTTTCAAAGTTAACTCTTGATACATTTCCATATTAGTTTGCATAAATGTGTTGAGAAACACTCTTGCACAGTTCTCTCATACTCCAGCACATCTTGCTGGTTTAAAGAATGCAAGGCCCTAACTGTTCTTTACCTAGGCCATTTCTCAGAGTTGTGTTTGCAGCAAACAACCTTGAGGGTTGAGCTAATGTCTTCCTCTGGGACAGAAAGGAGGTTTGCTTACTGTCTATGATAAAACAGCAATCCCCAGGCTTGGTGTTCCTTTCCTATAACACAACCCACTTCCTGTCCACGAATCCATCTGGGCCATCTGCACGACACCCGTGGGACTTGTGGGCAAGGGAAACATCACAAACATGGTGCTCATACTGCTTGCTGGGCTGTGAATGATCAAGTAGTCTCTGAGCCCAGAGGTTCATGTGTTCTGTCAGCATCAATGGAACCATAGCAGGCTAATTTACTAGCTTGTAAGAAGGGTAAAATCAAACCCAGGCCCGATAAGATGAACTTTGTTCTTTTTACTATTGCACAGTATTTCCTTGTTATTTCAATCTTTTGAGTTTTCCAGAGAGATTCTGATTTATTGGGTGTCTAATGGAGACAAAACACGTATATTTTGAAAAAAGTTACCTTCGTGATTCTGATGTGCATTCCTGGAGATCTCTTGATAAGTTCTGAGAGTGAGTCTCTAAAATGCCCAACAAGAATATAGAAATAATTTGTCTCCAAATATTTAGATGTTTTTCATTTTAAGAAAGGCGAAGGCAAAAAAATAGTGACTCACCACTTAATATACTAATTTGTTTACCAAAACGCAGACTGTCCTCTTTTGCTTACATTTTACTGTAAATCCCTGTGACTAAGATAATACAGAGGGCTTTCCAAGATGTTAGTGAAGTGAAGCAGTCAGGATCCAGAACAGTGATTCACTAAAAAGTTTTAGTCTCCTGGGAGTTGCAGTCAGTGGAAGTGCAAAATGGAATGCAACTTAGGCTTTTATTTGCTTTGTTTTGTTTTAAGTTTGGGATGGAAAAATCTTTGTCTCAAACTTGACATTTTGGCCTTAGCTAAAAACAAATGAAAGATAAAAGATATTTTCTGAGGTGAAGAGGACTCTAGACAAAAAAGTGATAAATTAAACTTAGCCTAAAAGGTTGTTCGTTTTTTGTTGTTGTTTGTTTTGTCTCTGCACCTATGCTGAGGGGCAAGGGAGGGATAAAAGATTGTTCTAATAATAAATCGAGTACTTTTCCCGCTTATTAGGAATAGTTTTGGGTCTTGAGAGGTTTTTTTAGGAATAGTTTTTGTTTTTTTAAGATTTTATTTATTTATTTGACAGAGAGAGGGCACAGCAGGGGAAGCTGCAGAGGGAGAGAGAGAAGCAGACTCCCCCAAGTGGGGAGTCCAAGGTGGGACTCGATCCCAGGACCCCCGGGATCATGACCTCAGCCAAAGACAGATGCTTAACCCACTGAGCCACCAGGTGCCCTAGGAATAGTTTTTTTTGCATGGAACATTTTATTTTTTTAAAGTAATGTCTGTACCCAACGTGGGGCTTGAATCCACAACCCCAAGATCAAGAGTTGCATGCTCCACCAAATGAGCCAGCCAGGTGCCCCACAATTGGTTCATTTTAATAAAGTGAGCTCTAGCATGCTGGGATCTCTTGATAAGGCATGATCAGTTCTTTTCCAAAGTTATAATTTAAAAAGAAAAACTCACTGGAACTATTCAGAAGTAGATACTAACATATACTTTGTATTTGGGGAACATAAAACTCTTAAGAAATTTTGGGATGGGAAGGGGAAAGGGCTTATAAATTCACGGTAAATTTAAAGCTTGTTTTAAAAGCCAATATAGATCTTTCATGTTTTAGATATATTTTTGGAAGTATAGTTTGTAAAGGAAAGATTTTTTGTATTCCTTTTAAATGTCCTTCTAGTTTAGGAAATGGTTGGTTAACTCAGAAAAGGAATTCTATAAAATTTTCTCTATTCTTTCTTTTTAGGCATTTTACAAAATACCATTCTCCATATTTGCAGACATTTATACTCGTAACTGAAACTGAATTAGTTAATAAAGTTCTGGTCTGATCTTTAAAATAATTTCAAGATGTGTCCTATTGGGGATAACTATAGAATAAAATCCCTTTGAAAGGGAGTAGGGAATAACAGGTACCCTGTGCTCAGCCCAAGTTCCCCACATGCTGTAACAATGAGTCCAAAACCCAAAGATTGGGTTTACATTCCTTACCTCAGAGCCCTTTCCTGTGAAAACGGCATAGACTACGTTGTGCCTTACATAGAACTGATTTTTAACTTAGTCTATTTTATCTGATATTAATATTGTCACACCAACTTTTTCGATTAGTATCTGTGTAAGTTAGGACACTTTAGGTTTAAAGTAACACCTCTTTAGAATCCCAGCCCGCCCCCGGTCTCCAGGGCTTAGAAGCACAGTCAGCCCAGTCCCCTACCTGTGGGTGGGATACTGCTGAGGTAGCTCAGGCTTACTGCTCTGGCTTTGAGTTCTCTTCATTTTTAACACCTGAGCAGGTATCTTCTTTTGAGCTTCACTATGCATTTAAAACTTTTTTTTTTTTTTGGTAAATCTATGTATTTGTGGGAGGTGGGACCTACCCACATTAGTCTAGACTGCCATAGTGCGAAAAATTGGGAGAGCCAGTTTTTAGAAAGAAGTTGAGAATTATCTTTTAGTCAGTATTTAAAATATTTTAAGATTTAAGATGACCTCTGCTTTAGTTCTGCCTTTAACCATTTGTGGGGGTCTTTCAGAAGGTCACATGATCTCTTTGGGCTTCACTTATCCATGTGTAAAACCACAGGGTTTTCTACCTTTTTCATTATACCACGTAGAAGCTTAATACTAAAGAGTTACAGACTGGATGCTGTAAGAAACAAGTCAAATCAACTTGGTTCTCGCCCTTTCCTAGGTTAAAGTGTATTTATTTTTCAGTCAGACATATTAATGGATAATTAAATGCTTCACTGTTCAGTTAAGAATGCCTAGATTTAGAAAATTTCTGGTATAAAGCCAACATTAAATTTTCAGAAAAGTTTTTGGACTTAATGAGAAATGTGCTTTTGTTCAAACTATGTTCAGATAAAGAACTAAATAAAAATTCTCATTTTATTAATAAATCAAATATAATCTATGATTAATCATTAGATATGTAAAAAAAATTAACTGAGTAAATTTAAAGATCTGATTGCATTATTCAACGATTCATGAATCAGGCAGCATCCCTCTGAATCACTGCAAAAAAGGGAGACTTCTACAGGCAGAAGGGGTGGGAAAAGGAAGTGTCTAGCAAAAAGTGGATTGTTTCAGACAAGGTTACCTTCCTCTGTGGGACTGCAGGAGTTTATCAGGTGGGTTGCCTCACTAGCTGACTAGGAAATTCTAGTCTGACTGGTTAAGATTATATTCCTGGGAGAGGCCAAAACCTCAGTTAGGTTAGGCATTAAGTCTCAGTCCTATGATGTGGGCTTAACATGAGTGACTCCATATGGGGCCCGTTGTCAGTTGCTCGGACCCCTACGCCTGAGAGATGTGATCAAAACTTAAGGCATTAGCCCCACCCCTGGCTGTTGCTCTGAAAATTCTTACAGTTTTGCTGATCCTCTGTGGTGGTATTCACAGGTCATGAGTTTTGTTTTTGTTTTTGGTGTTTTTTTCTTGAATCTTTGTGGTATTCACAGACCGTGACTTCAGGTTCACATTTTTAAAGCCAGTCATTCTCTTCATTCCTTTTCTGATGTTCCAGTCTTAGGGAGATGATTTGTTCGGTGGTTAGTGGCTGCGAACACACTTTTCAAGCTGTATTTGAGAGAATACAGCATGCCGGAGAGACCACTGGATTATTACAAGCAGGGTAATCCCCAATATCTAGACTGCGTTTGGAGCTGTGGTCCCAACACCCAAACCAATCAAAATTAAATAAGTTAAAGGAAGACCCCGCTGAAGGAGTCACTTTCTTTCTTTTTTTTTTTTTTTTAAAGATTTTATTTATTTATTTGACAGAGAGAGACACAGCGAGAGAGGGAGTGGGAGAGGGAGAGCAGGCTTCCCACGGAGCAGGGAGCCCGATATGGGGCTCGATCTCAGGACCCTGGGATCATGACCTGAGCCGAAGGCAGACGCTTAATGTCTGAGCCACCCAGGCGCCCTGAAGGAGTCACTTTCTTGAGCCAAGTTGCTCGTTCAGTGGTTTTATAGCTGAGTTTCAACTTTCCCACAAGCGTTAATCCATGTGCAGCAAGTGGTGCTGGTCACGGCACAGACACCTCCTTGTTCAGCCAAAAAATAATCAAGGGCCATCCTGTTACCAAGAACAACTTTGGTTAGAGGGTCTAAGGATTTTGTTGGGCAGCTATTTTATTTTAAGCAGCAGATTCTGTAGTATTTTAAAGAGTTAAGGAGAGTTTCCTGATCATAGCCTCATTCATACTCACTCCAGGGGAAGGGAGCTAATTTTCTGAGTCTGTGGCCCAGAACTGGAAAGGTGACAGCCATGGAAGCTAGTACAGTTTCAGAGTCTGTAGACTGTACATGCAGTTTTTATTCTGGTTACTCTTGCTTCATGTCCCTCTCTTTGTGCAGAGCTTGGATGCAAGTTTCCCTGGGTTTGGGGTTAATGAGACAGGGTTTGTTCCAGAGAAACTGAGGCATTGGAAATCAGGGAGAAGTTTGTGATAGGCAGACTGCAGAATCACCAGCATCAAGACAAGTCC